CTTCGGACAGCCCACCCGTTTGAACTAATAAAGTGCCAGGGGCCTAAGTGGTCACCTCAATATTAAAAAAAAAAAATCAGTGGCAAATTTTTATACTTTTTTAATTACTACAACAAAAATTAGATAAGAGCTTTAATAATTTTGTTACTAAAATTAAAAATTAATAAAAATATAAAAAATTTGATTAAATTTAATAAGATAGTTATTAAGAATTAGTTTTTACTAATAAAATAGCATGTTTTAAAAGCTTAAAATAGATCTTATTCTTAAATTTGATTATATACTGTTAATTATATTTTTCAACAAAAAAGATCATATTTTAAATTTTAATGCTTTTGCAAGTTATTGGTAAAGACAGCAAACCTCGCACAAAAGAAAACTTCTACATTAGCTACTAAATAAATACTCAGGTTAAAATATAATATTCTTTTGTTTACACATTTCATAGCCAGAGTGTTGACGATAAGTAAAAATCATTCTTCTACAAGTATTTCCAATATTGTACAAAGCGGTTGAATTTCATTATTGGCCGCTTTCTTAAAATATTCTACTGCCTTAACCATATCATTTTGTGGCTTTCTCTTTTTCATGGCCCCAGGAAAATTTCTCAATATGATATTAAATGTTATTAAATGTTAGGTATACAAGTAATATTAATATAGGTGCCGCCAGGGAAAACTACACACTTCGAGTCCTTAAATTTATAATTTACCGATAGCAATGTTGTCGATTCATTTGGCTGTTAATTAATCGGTTTTTATAATAGTCAATATATAGGACGGTCAGTTGATAACAACCCTTTTCACCGGACTCAATTTCTTGGTTTTCCCTTGGTAATTTGTAAGTGGAAACGGATCTAAAATTGATTCAGAGTCTATTTAGATTAGAACATTATAACTACACCTAAAATCTAATCCTTATCCAATAACTTTAATAATCCAAAATCAACTCGATCTCAACTTACAACAGCAGCACCCATGTAATCTATTAAACTGTTTGCCTAAAACATTAAACTTATTCTAAATGGTTGAATATTTAACATTATATAGATAGTTTTGGCATGCTTCTTTGGGAGATTGCTGAACTAGAAACTCCGTCTAAAAATGAAATAATGGCGTGATAATAATGGCGTGATTTAGTTGCCAAAAATCACCATCGTGTGAGTTTTTCTCACGGTGGAATACCCAAAGAAAGGACAGATCTTGTAAAGGTTTGTGATTTCCAACGTTGGTTTTGATTCCCTTTGATTTTTACTATACTGAGCTATTTTGTGACTTGTGAAAATAGCCGCGTGGAATCAGCCTTTACTGGAATATTTTTAACTCTTCAAAATTACCTGAAAAAAAAATAAAATAAAATAAAAATAAAAATAAAAGTAAAATTATCCACCAATACGTACTCCTTGTCTAGACGCGTGTAATCCAATCGATGATGAGTTCGACGACCAAGCAATTCCTATCAATTTTACTGAATTCAATGATATACCCGTCGAAGAAGCAATAAGGAATACCGTAGTAAGGATGGTAGCAATCAAAATACTTAGAAGTGTTTTGAAGCACATACGAATGCTGGTGACATCACTGCTAAATATTGGAGGGCCTACTTCCCTTCTTAAGCGGCCGTATTTCACACGCGAAAAGAAAGATTTGAATATACTGCTACCGTACCACACTGCCTTTAGTACCCGGGCCTTATCAAAAAAAAAAGGATATTATACTTGGCAATATATCCATGGGTACTTAACAAAGAGTGGGTATTATACTTGGGGGTATTATGCTCGGGGAGATATTATTAAGCTTTGTTATAGAATCAATTTTTAATTAATCTATCAAATCTTAATACCTTGGATTTTAATACCCGGGTCTTATACAATTTTTTCGAATTTTTTTGTAATGTATCCGGGTATATATAATATACAAAAAAATGGAGGTCTCGTATCATGTGATCACGGAACATAATATTTACACGTGATGATCGACAACGTGCGACAGCAGATTTTAAATTTACTAGCGAAGACTATCAAAAAATTGATTCATTTCACGTACCAACTATTTTTTCCTAGTAATTTATACATCAACGATTTGTTTAATATAATTAAACAAAGTTACAGTTTAAAACTTTACTTTATTTTTTAATTTTTTTTACAAAGCCAAATCTTTTTTTTTAATTCGAACAATATTATCGTTATAAAAAGTTCTTACTAATTTAATTAAAAATTTTAAACTAATCGTTAGTTGAAAATCAACTAGTTGACAACTTTCCAATAATCGATCAGAAAATTTTTAAAACAACTAATCGATTAAATCTTCAACTAGTTCTATTCCGAAATATTCTGTCTATTCGGACTAATCCGTGTTGATTTCTTTAATCTGATTGACTAATCAACAAATTTAATCACATGATATGGAAATCGATTAGTTGGGCAACTAATCGATTGGCAAAATTTTACCAACTCGGAACACTATTTTAAACTGTAGTTTTGTTTAATTATATTAAACTAATCGATATAATTTACTAGGAAAAAATAGTTCGTACGTGAGGTGAATCAAATTTCTGCAAATGTAATAACTAAAAATGCCAATTAATAAAAAATATTACTCTGTAGCTTTTTACTATTATAATATGTGAATCGATTATTGTAAAAATTGCCGGAAAAAAATAGCATATACACGAGGCGAACCAATTTTTTTGAATCTTTACTAGTCTTCGAGTAATTCCTGCTAATGTAATAACTAAAAATGCCCAATTAATAAAAGATACTACTCTGTGACTTTTTTTATTATAATATACGAATCATTTGCCACAAAAATTTCTTAAAAAAAATAGCTTGTATCAATTTTTAGATCTAGTATTTCGTTAGTAAAAGTAATTTATGCACAAAATCTATTACTGCATCTTCCCACAATATTCTGTTTATATTGTACAAATCGGGTTTAGAAAAAAATTATAAAAGCAGAAAAAAAATTAAAAGTAATAAAAGCAAATTAAAATTAAAATTAAAATTAAGAAAATAAAAATAAATAAAAATAAAACAATAAAAGTAAAATAAAAAATATAATATAATAAAAAATAAATAAATTAAATAATTAAAAAGATAAATGTAAAAAAACCATTTATTATAAGGTTTTGCACCTATCGTATGTTTTATTATGTTTTTTAGATTTTCCTAAGTTTTGAATATAAAAATTTTCAAACCGAAATTTTTATGTTAGTGTTAGTATTTAGGGATTTGGGAAGGGGCTTTTAAGGCGTAAAGCACTTTTACTTAAAACATCTTGCATTGATTAATTAGACAGTTTTTGAAATAATATATATATATAGGTGTAAAGCACCATAAATAAATAAATTAATTAAAAATTTAAAAATAAAAAATAAAAATAAAAAAATTTAAAAATTTAAAATAAAAGCAAAAAAATAAAAAAAAAATAAAAGCAAAAATAAAATAAAATAAAATAAAAAAATAAAAGCTTTGAGTAGTATTTCAGTTAAAACGGGTGATATATTTTTTTAAAGGTTACGCATTTAAAAGCTTTATTTAAATAATTAAGTTTCGAATGCGCTTATTTGTATAATCTTATTTATTGTTAATTACATTTGAATAAAGTTTCATTTATCAAAACGTAAGTTACCAAATACACTTTTTTATTTGACATTAGTATCGATCTTATTTATCTCCGAAATATCGTTATGTTAATTTTGAAACACCTTAATGGTAAAGATTCGCGAACTTAAATATCTTTTAAAAAAACAGGCCAATAAATAAACTTTATTTGTACTTTGTACCATTTTAAAGTATACTGATTAATATAATGATAGACGATATGCTTATTCGAACTAGATTAAGATGTAACGTAATATATGTCACTCTCATTATAGTTAATAAGGTAGCTACGTGACGTTGTCACGCAAAATCAGGAACGTAAATTTATGAATTAACCCGATCAGATAATTCGAGTTCACTGAATTTAAATTATCATATTGGCAGAATTTTTGATTTGGTGATTATTAAAAATTAATGATAATTCTCTTATACGTAATAAAACTATCATCTATCACGAGCAGTGAAAAAGATTTGAAATTTTTTTTGTTCTTCGGGAGCACACGTTATTAAATTTATATTCCTAAAAAATTTTAATATTCCTATAATAAATATAATAAATATATTCTCTCACACACACATTCTTTCTCTATAGGAACATAAATTATAACTTTTATATTCTCACTTTGTTCCTAAAAAGGATCATAAATTCTAAATCTAGTGCTCCTAAATTTTTTTAAATGTTCTCAGGAACATTGGGAACATTAAATCTTTAACACTGATCACGAGTGTCCTGTACATTTTTACCAATCCCTTTTTTTCATGTAAAATAAGGTCAACAATCTTATTTAACATTAAAAAAATTTGAGTCTCATGGCTATGGGAGAAAATCTGGTTATCTTCAAATAGGGTGACTAGCACAGGTAAAAAACTTGGCATTCCATTCATCAAAATTTGTGCCCGGGTGCCACCCCTGGCATGCCACATATATAAATTTTAATAAAAAATCTCTTCTTAAATATATGCTTATAAAAAACTTCTTTAAATTCATTTTTGCTTAGTTTTAAATTATAATTTAAATGCACACCCCTTCTAAGTACCTTTATTTACTTTACTATCTCTTAAACTATAAGCTGATTCAGGCAAATTTGCCTACAAAAATTTATTCAATAATTACACATATTTACTCTCATTAAAGTCATGTATTTAAATAATCTAATCAAGTTATAGATGTGTTGTTTAGAATTTGTCAAATATTAGAACTTTGAAACAGTAGAATTTTAATAAATAGTACATCCAATAGCATCTTGAGCAATGTATGAACATGACTTTTGCAAGGGCTATTTCACTAAACTTAAAAGAAAATAAAGGTAGAACATTATTCAAAATAGTTAAAAGTAGTATCAGCTAAAAGCTCTATACAAGTAGTATACCCAGTATTAATGTTATTAAGGTTAACACAATAATTTATATAAGTTGTTCTAGCAAAAACTATTTTGATCAAAAATTTGCAAACAAATTTGTCTGCAAAATAGTTTAAGAAATAGTTTTAAATAAGTGCTCTTAGAAATCTAACTATATATGCAATAGTTATTACATATTTTATTATAAATATTATTAAATATCATGGATCAATCGAGATTTTATTCAGTATTGCAGTGTAGCTGCAATGATGAATGATATTGAAATTGATTCATAATTTTAATGATATCAATGATAAATACATGTAATAACTGTATTATTTTATATAGTGCTACAAATCGACAAAAATTTTCCAATCATTTAGTTGACAACCTATTTTATCCAACTAATTGATTAATCAATTTTATTTCAACTAATCGATTAGTTGACCAATCGATTAGTTGACTAATTGACTAATCAATTAGTTGACCAATCGATTAGTTGACTAATTGACTAATCGATTAGTTGACTAATCGATTAGTCAACTAATCGACCAATCGATTAGTTGATTAATCGATTAGTTGACCAATCGATTAGTCAATTAATCAACTAATCAATTAATTAACTAATTGATTAGTCACTTTGTATATCCAAAGTATATGCTAGAATAATAATTTTTGCTATTAGAAAAATATTTGTAAATAAATATATATTATTTATATATGATAATGATATTACAATCAATTAACCAATCGATTGGATTAGTGATTAGTAGACCAATCAATTAGTTGACCAATTGACTAATCGATTAATCGACTAGTCAACTAGTCAACTAATCGACTAATCGATTAATCGACTAATCGACTAATCAATTAATCGACTAAAGAGAGTGCCATTTATCACCTGATTTTTTAGAGTAGGGGGGTCTGAAAATTATCAGGTCCTAATAGTAGATAACTTTTGATTGGCTAAAATTTTTAAAAAATTTTTAAAAATTTAAAAAATTTTTAAAGTTTAATATTAAATAAAATTTGAACCAACGATCCGTTTTGGATGATTTTACTACCAAAATGTTCATCTCAATGAGATGATTCCAACGAGCCTAAAATCACCAAAATCCAATTACTAGATCCCAAGATCATTATAAATTTGTATTACTTTAATTATATTAGTTTTATATATATTAAAAATTATTATTAAAGATCTTATAAACTTTAA